GGTGAAAAGTTGAAAGCCTTCCCACTAAAATCTGGAACAAGACAAGGATGCCCACTCTCACCACTTCTATTCAACATAGTATTGGAAATGCTAGCCATAGCTATCAGACAAGAAAAAGAAATAAAAGGGATCCAAACTATCACTAAGACGAAGAGGTAAAATTGCCACTACATGGGGATGACGTGATACTATATACAGAAAACCACAGAGGCTCCACACAAAAACTACTAGAGCTGATAAAAGAATTCAGCAAGGTAGCAGGATATGAGAGTAACATACAGAAATCAGTTGCATTTCTTTACACTAACAGTGGAATATCAGAAAAGTAAAAACAAATCCCTGTTAAAATCATATTAAAAAAAAAAGCTTAGGAATAAACCTGACCAAGGAGGTGAATTATACAGACACCTACAAAACACTGATTAAGGGAATTAAAGATGATTTATTTAAAGAAATGGAAAGATCCCATGCTCTTCGATTAGAAGAATTAATACTGTTAAAATGGCCATACTACCCAAAACAGTTCACAGATTTAATGTGATTCCTGTTGAATTACCCAGGAATTTTTTCACAGAACTAGGACAAATAATCCCAAAATTTATATGGGATCATGAAGACCCAGAATTGCCAAAGCAATACTGAGGAAAAGAACAAAGCTGGAGGTAGAACCCTCCCAGACTTCAGACAAACTACAGAACTACAGTAATCAAAACAGGCATGGATCAGTGGAACAGAACAGACAGCCCAGAAATAAACCACAGGCTTACGGTTAGTCTTCAACAAAGGAAGCAAGAACATGCAATGGAGGAAAGACAGTCTCTTCAGCAAGTGGTGTTGGGAGAATTGGACAGCCACATGTACATCAATGGAGTTTACAACAGTCCCTCACTCCACACACAAAAATAAACTCAAATGGTTTAAAGACTTAAACATCGTACAGGACACCATGAATCTTGAGAACAGAAGCAAAACATTCTCAGACATAAATTGTACTCATACTTTCATAGATCAGTCTCCCAAACCCAGAGCAAAAGAAAAAGTAAAAATAAATGAGACCTAATTAAACTTAAGATTTGCACAGCAAAGGAAACCATAAAAACAGATAGACAACCTATGGAATGGAAAAAACATTTACAAATGATGCAACTGACAAGGGCTTAATTTCCAGAATATACAAACAGTTCCTACAACTTAAAAAAACAAACAACCCAATCAAAAAATGGGCAGGAGACCTAAACAAGCAATTCTCCCATGAAGACTTATAAATGGCCAATGGGCACATGAAAACACGTTCAGTATCACTAATTAACAGAGAAATGCAGATCAAAACTACGATGAGGTATCTATCACCTCACACCAGTCAGAATGGCCATCAGTAAAAAAGTCCACAAATGATAAATGCTGGAGAGGCTGTGGAGAACAGGGAGCCCTCCTGCACTGCTGGGAAGGTAGGTGGTGCAGCCGTTACGGAAAACAGTAAACAAACTTATGGTTCCCAGGGAAGGAGGGTGGGAAGGGATAAATCTGGGAGTTTCAGGTTTACAAATGTTAGCCGCTTTATATAAAAATAGGTTTTAAAAAATGTTTTCTGCTGTATAGCACAGGGAACTATGTTCAATATATTGTAATAAACTTTAATGAAAAAAATGAAAACAAATATATGTGTGCATATGCATGACTGGGACATTGTGCTGTACACCAGAAACTGATACACTGTAACTGATGGTACTTCAATTAAAAATAAAAAGTATGAGATTCCTCAAAAGACTAAAAATAGACTTACCATATGACCCCGCAATCCCACACCTGGGCATGTATCCTGAGGGAACTCCAACTTGAAAAGATAGGTCCCCTAGGCTGGCTTTGGCCCTGGACCTCCCAGGACACTCTGCGCTGCTAAACACCTGGGTCAGGTTCCTGTCACCTCTCCCATCCCGCTTCAGCCCTCTGAGCAATAATGTGCCTGGTTCCCCTCTACCCACCCACACCTTCATAATTAGTCCCTTTAATGAGCTGTATCTATAAAATCAGCTCGAGTTACCCTAATTTGAGAGTTGGGACCCAATACCGTCTCCCTTTCTCAGAGAATGTGTTAAAAGGTTCAGTTAGACTAGAAAGATTTCTGTAGAGCTGGAATCATTGTCCTAGGATTTCTGAACATCTTG